ACAGTTGGCAAGTACTAAAAAACAGATGTAAGACATTGATTAAATGTAGTTTTCAGTCACACTCATGTAAGTCATTTTCAACTCGTTTAGTTTTGCCTTCATTCATTTTTGATTTCCCTCTTCAACACATGATTTATTTACAACACATTTTCAGGGCTGCCAACTTTTGGTTTTAGCTTGGAGTGAGAATTTTTGCCCCGCCCTTACGACTCAAGCCATGCCCCCACAAAGCCACACCCCTTTTTATTTATATACACACACATATATATATGGTAAAATTATTAGTTTAAGTTATTTAATTACCTTGTTTATGAAGACTGCAGAGTGATGCATGAAAACAAATGAATAATAAGTAACGTAATGTTCGAATAATGTTAAGTATTTTGTGATATATATGTTAAAATGTGCTCCTAAAAGTTTGTGGCCCCTGCCCGCCCCCCACAGGTTAATAGTAAGCTAATGTAATTTCATAATGCCAATCTTAAATTCATGCTAACCAACAAATGATCAAAGGAAATTTATTAAAGTATTAATGTAAGACAATATGAATTGATGTTTACTTTAAACTGTAATTATACTGTTCTATTAAAATTATGTTTAAAAGTATATAATATAATATAATATATATATATATATATATATATATATATATATATATATATATATATATATATATATTTGTAGAGTCATCCACCATCATTTTGTGGCTAAAAAGTATCGGTTCAGGCACCGTTTTGGCACCGGTTTTAAAAGTATCGATTTACCACCGCTACCGAAAAAAACCCAAACGATATCCAACCCTACTGGTGACTAGAGCGCTTGGCATCCTCGATAGTAACAAGCGTAGCCAGCGCCATGTCCTCTGTCTCCCTCCACTGATTCAGCAGATTAAAGCGATAGATCTGACGTGAATCGCCCTGTCCAATCGAACCACCTCATAATCAAGATCACTGACTCGTTGTGTGACCACAAACGGCCCTTGCCACTTGGTGAGTAATTTAGAGCTGGAAGTGGGTAGCAGTACAAGGACTTTTTCTCCCTGTAAAAATTTACGTAATTTAGTGCCCTTATCATATCGCCGGCGTTGGTCATCCTGGGCCTTAAGCAAATTCTCTGTAGAGAGCCGCCCCAGTGTGGGGAGTTTTGCTCTAAGGTCCAGAATATACTGAATTTCATTTTTACTATTAGAATGCTCATCCTCCCAAGACCTCTCTAACGACATACAAAACCCCTCTGGGCTGTCTGAGAGAAGCTCAAAGGGGGAAAACCCTGTGGAGGCTTGGGGAACCTCACGCACAGTGAATAATAAGGGCTCCAACTACTTATCCCAATTTTTTGTGTCCTCGTGAACTCATTTACGGATCATTGAGTTAAGCGTGCGATTAAACCTTTTCACCAGCTCGTCTGTTTGTGGCAGATAGATGCTGGTGCGTATAGATTTAAAGCCGAATAATCTGTAAAGCTTGCGTATAATGAGTGACATGAACGCTGGGCCTTGATCAGTAAGAATCTCCTTGGGGATTCCCATTCGGGAGATTATACGAAACAGAGCTTCCGCTACACTATTCGCTGAAATGTTACGGAGCGCTTCTGCTTCCGGGTAGCGGGTTGCATAATCCACTAGAACTAATGCAAACCGTGCGGATCGCTCTAATGGCACGATGAGATCCATACCAATTCTCTCAAAGGGGATCTCAATAACTGGTATGGGCGCAACGGCACTTTTGGGGATAGAATTTAAAAAAGCCGCCCGAAAAAGCATTTCCTGGCGGCCCTTTTTATACTAACAACTGGGTTGTATCTTCCTTTGTCTTAATGTCATGGGTCACTTGATACACCCTATCATTAAAAACCACAAAATACGGATAGGAGAGGGGCCGATCAGGCTGGAGGATTTGCCCATCAATGACCTGTACTTTTTCCAGTGCATGTCTGAGCGTGTCACACGATTGCTCCAGGGGAAAGTCTTTACACTGGGTAATTCCCTGCCCTTTCCCTGAGTCAGTGTGTGACGTTACCGCTTGGGATTCCCCCAGCGGAGCGACACGCCCCCTATCCAGCGATTCCTTTTTCCAAGAAACACCCGCCCATAAGACTCCTAATAATCTATTAAATCCAGGCCAATTGGTTCCCAGAATTAGAGGGAGTTGGAGGTGCGGGTTATGAGCTACCTCTACTCTATGCTTTTTACCCCGAAATTGAATATCTATTGCCATTAGCGGGTAGTGAATTACATCCCCGTGCACACACCTTACCCTTACCATGCAGCTCGTATCCAATGCCAGGTCTTGAAGCAGGCTTTGGTGGATGTAGGTCTGGTTATACCCTGAATCCACCAAAGCTTGATATGTACCCCCTTTTATACTCTGTCTTTAGATCGTCTAGCCGGTGGCACTGGACCCACTCCGATGTATGGGAGGAGAGGCCGGTGATGAACTGTTCCAGTACCACGGCATCCACCAGCTGGACAGTGTTCCGGCCATCCTGCACCAGCCATCTCCGACACAACATTCCGAGTGGTCCTCTGGCGCCATTTTCTATAAGGTGAGGGTGGGCGGCAGATGTCAGAGCGGAGCTGCCATTGCCAACTCATTGGCATTTCATTGGCCCATTTACATACTCTTTCAGATGATTGGCTTTCTGAATAAAATCCCCATAATGGAAGTTTTTTCCACATAGCATTTCCGTTCCCCCCGTCGGAGAACGAGGGTTACTTAAGTAACCAGAGCGATTTGCAGCTGACAATCAATTCGGTGAGCAGGGAAGCCACACTCCTACAAAATAGGAGGGATTTGGATCCTAGTTTAATGTCAGGAAATTACAAAAAGAGACTTATTGGGCTCTATTTTGACGGTCCATGCGTAGAGCGCAAAACGCAGGGCATAAACGCTTTCAGGGCATGTCAGTTGCTAATTTACAGATGGCAAAATCCGCTTTGCGCTATGGCGCATGATCTAAAAGGGTTGAGTTTATTTTCTTAATGAGTTTTAGGTGTGTTTTGAGAATAAACCAATTAGAGTCTCATCTCCTATTCCCTTTAAGAGCCAGCTGCGTTGCGCCATAAGCGCATTCGCTAGTTACAGGACGTAAAGTAAGTCTAAGTGGAAAAACTGAGCATTTCACTGGCAAACAGTTAACAGTTAAAAGTTTTTTTTTAACAGAAAACTGTTAAACAGAGCATCTACTAAGTGAGAATGAGAGATAATGGATCACTTTCACTTTCGCTCTTGGATAGGGAAACCTTTACGCACAGACATCAATTAGTCTATAAATAATTAATTGCGTTTGTTAAGCACAAATATTCGTTTCAAAACTATTTCTAAATTCAGTTCTAATTTCCAGCAAACTAATAAATGAACAACAATAACGAAGTTTGTTCAAAAACCTGAGTTATATCCTAAAATACATGATGTGCCCCTTATGGTCTAAAATCTGACAGGTGGGCAAATCTAGGCTTGTTTTTAATAAAACAAATATAAATATGGATATAATAAATAATACTGCTAATTAGGGCTGTAACGATACACCAAACCCACGATTTGGTTCATATCAGGATTTTTGACCCACGATTTGGTTCGTATCACGATTTTTTTTTCGTGGGGGGTGGGAAAAAAAAGATTTTTAAAACTATTTTTTATGAAATACCATTTGAAAAATCTTTATAAACTGAACATCAAAGAACAATATTAACTATGCAAATTATTAACAATATGAATAGCCATATATAAAATAAATAATTAGCCAAAGCTATATCACTTCTGTTTTCTTTGTAACAAAATACTGTTGAAAAACCAAACAGAACTAAACTCCATTGTGTAGATGGTTCAAGCATGTTGAAAATTCTTTTTCAATCAAGTTCTTACATAAAAAAAGTAAATTAAATGGCTACTAGGGATGCTCATTTTGGTTAATTTTGCTAACCGACAACCACCGCTCATTAATCGATTATTAGCGGTTAACTGGTCAGATTACTATTAATTTTATATTTAACAAATTGACGTGTCTATTTTGTGTCTGACACATTAAATATTGCATTTTAAAATAGGGGCCTACTGATTTATTTTTAAATGCTAGCATATTAATAACGGAACAGAACAACAGAGCGTCTTCACGCACCTGCAGTGTTTAGCACAGAAGAGCAGAATAATCTAAATAAAATGAATAAAATAAATAGGACTGCCCTAAATTATTTTCACTTAAATAATACATTTTTATTACAAAACGAAAATACTGACTGATTCTTTTTAATAACCGGCATGGGTTGTTTTTTCCAATCATATGTTTTTTTATTCCGTCAAACAGGGGCGTTGCTAGGGTCAAAAGGGATAAGGGGCTTAGCCCCAAAGACCCCCCCCAACCCATATTATGAGCCATATCATGCCCCTTGTGTCACAATCTCGGTCTGATCACCGGTTCGATCTTTGTGTTACTCTTTCCCTTTCACTCGTATTGTTTTGATCACTCATACCCTGCTTTGTTTACCTCTCGCTTCCCCACCCATTTGCTCTATTACTTTCCATTAGTCTATCAAACTACTTTCACTCACCTGGTTTCCTTGATTTCTCCCCCTATTTATCCCTCCGTTGATCGTAGTTCTGTGTCAGATCGTAGTTTTTCCCCTTCCGGCATGTCTGGCGATCTCCTGGTCTAGTCCTGTTCCTTGTATATCCTGTGAGTTTTGTCATGTCTGATGTCATCCTGTTGATTTTTCCTAAAGTGTTTTTTTTTCTCCGTCTGCCTTCAAGCCTGTTCCCGTCTGTTTTTGTTTTGCCGCCCATCTGACTCCCCGTCTCTATCCTGCCGGTGTAGCAGTCGATTCTGTTCCCCTCGGAATGTCTGTTCCCCTTTACGCAATTAAACTACATGGTTTGCGTTGTTGCCGAGGCACCATACGTATGATCGCAAACAACGTACCCGTGAAGCACAACTGGATGTACGGGAAGCAGAGTGGTTCTTAAAGTTCGTATTTTTCGCGAACCTGAAAATTAAGTTTCTCAACGTAATCTAGAAGGTTTTTCCTTATTCCTTAAGCGGAATTTTATTTTAGACAGCATGTTTGCCATACACAGGTTTACATTTTAGAGACAAATTTATAGCAGGTATACCATAGCAATTTCCAAAGAGATAAACAAGAAAATAAACGTTTTTACATTTCATTTTTTTATTTACAGGAAAAGCATTTGTAGTCTGCTTCTGTTGCTGGATTATTAACGCAGGCCACGTGGAACCATCGCCCACATTGGTCACAGGAAATCTAAAAATAGAGAGGGGGTATTATTAATACATCTGCCTCATAATAAAAAGGGAAGCAACGTTGTAAGCAAAATGTTCGTGTTATTCAATCATATGCTATGATTAAAAAATAAATAAATAAAACTTGCTTACAATGCATTTAAAAAAAAAAAAAAAAAAAAAAAAGACAAATGTTGTTACCCAGAGAACATTCTCAGATTCATCAAATGTCTCTGCCTCCCCACAAAAGTGACACAGGTCACTTAGATCATCTATGAGATAAAATGAGCTGTTTAAATTTCTTTTGTGAATTTTAAGTAAGTTCTGAAAATGCATAAACGCACTGAAAATTAAGTTAAACACGAATAAAAACATACCAGATTGGTCAAGAAGTGTTGATGCAATCTCTAATCGGAGTCGTTTCACTTCTTGTGGTGCACTGCAGAAGTCAATTTCCTTCTCTTTAAGGATGTATTCTGCAAACTGGACAAAAACAAATATAAATAAACAATCCAAATTTTATTAATATTTCATATGGTCAATGACACATACCTTCAACGCAAACACACCACATGATGTTCCATCTTTTTGATGTGGGTGAGGCAGTGTTTCACACACCCAATGTGAAACTGGAAGTTTCTTCATAATTGCGCTGCAAAAGGGGTTTTTTTTTGTTTGTTTTTTTTTTCTGTCTGTCTGTCAGTTAACTTCCAATATCAGATTATGCCGAATTATAATACCTTGCCGTTTCCAAACACTTCTTTTTCTTCACCTCAGTCTCTCCAAGAGAATCAAGAAGAATAGCTTTCCTTTGGGCTATATAGCCTAGATTTAACAAAAAATAAAAATAAAAAAACTTGAGAATAGGGAAAGTTTCAAGAAGAGTCCGTTTTCAAATCAGAAGCATTTACCATCAAAAACCAGTGGTGACATTCATTGACAATACCCAACAATACATCATATTTTGCTGGGTCCACCTAAATATAAATGAACACAATATTAGACAACTATATAACTATATATAATTACACAACTTGCTAAAAGCATGCAAGATCCATTTTGTTATTAAATTTTACACATGGTCAGAAAGAATAAAAACTAAAATATTTATTAATAAAAACACACAAAAAAACAAAAAAAAAAACAAACACACACCTTGAATCGCTGAGGTTTTCCTTTCCACAGCTCAGACATTGTAAATGTGTTAAAAGCATAGGCTTTACGCTTAGATTTTTCATTGTGCTCCTTCACTTTCAAGGTAAGATAAGCATTTATTACCTTGTCAAACAATAAAAAAAAAATTAAAATAAAACATTAATAGAACATTACATAAAAGATTGACGTGACAATTTTTTTTATCTTTACCTCACTCTCCAACTCCATGCCAGGTCTGAGCCTTGAAATGTCAGAATAAAATAATTTATATGGTCCCACTTTGGACAGCAATACATGGCTTTCATTGCCTTTCCAAGCACTTTTGAGGTCTATAAACAAATAAAAAGCAGCACTTTAAAAAATATAGTTTCACACCTGAAAAATAGTTTTGCTTTTATTACAGCATTTGATTCTATAGTATATCAGCACTTACAGCCATGTTTTGCATCCTTGGAGTCAGCCTGTGCAAGCACTTCCACTGTAGTGGTGTGGGATGGAGGAGAGGAGAGACTGACAGTTAAGTTCAGTGGAGACAGGGAAGAGGAAGACTTGGGGGAGACACGGGGAGAAAGTTGTGGTGCATTTGGTGAGGATGGCGGTGATGGTTGGGGCTGCAGTTTTGTGATGGTGAGGTCTAAAGGTGTAGGTGAAGGATGCTGGTCTGGTCTTTGATTTTGTTGTGCAGCAAGGATCCTGTGGGGTACATGAGGTCCATCTACTTTAAATAACTTAAGGTGGTCTGTGCTTATTTTTGGGTAAATGTGACCTTTCTCATCCCTCAGATCAGCACTTTTTTCTTTGAGTTGGATGATTTCAAAAGGTCCTAGCCAGCTCCGCTCAAGCTTGCCACCTTTTCTCTGCTGGGACCTTATGTTTTTCCGTAGGACCTTTTGACCAACAGAGAACTGTGCTTGATTTTGCACTTTCTGTCTGCGCTCCTGTTTTTTTTTTACATTTTCCTTTACCATGTGGTCAATTTTCTCTTTTAGAGAAATGGCCCCTGACACGGTGTCCTCAGTTAATATATTTTCCACTGTGCTGTTAACCTTTTAGGAAATATAGCACTTAGAAATGATTTCACTTTGTCATTTAAACCAAATTAAAGACTGAACATATACCTCAAATGTCTCAGGCACCTCTGAAGGGTATCGGGCCTCAAAGCCGAACATCAGGAAAAATGGGGAGTACCTAGTTGTCAGCTGTGGCTTAGTTCTTAGACCAAACATCACTGCATCTAGGTACTCATCCCATTTTTCAGGTCGCTCCTCCACAAGTTTACACAAGGCTCTAGAGTAATAAAAAGGAGCAGGAAGGTATTAGTAAACAATTACAAGGAAGTACAATATTACATCAATATTGCATTCCCATAATGCCAACTTACTTCTGGATGGTCCCATTTAGTTTTTCCACAAGGCCGTTAGTTTGTGGATGGTATGGGGCACAGAGGCTTCGTTCCACACCGAGGAAGTCACAGAGGTCTTTGTTGATCTATTTGCAAAACGTATGTAAGGTTTGTATAATTCTGATTTGCACAAAACATTTATTCTTATTTTCTGAATGTAATTTGATAAGTTGCAAACCTGGTTCACAAACTCTCTGCCTTGGTCGGTTAGGATCCTCTTTGGTGCCCCAAACCTATAAAAAAAGTTAATGATACAGCGTGCAACAACTGCAGCTGATTTGTTGGGTATGGGATACGCCTCTGACCATTTGGTGTAATAATCGACAATGACACAAATGTATTCGTTGCCCTTGTCGGTTTTGGTCACTTTGCCCACCAGGTCCATACCCAACAGTTCTAGTGGCCTATCCACCTTAGGAAGGAAAAACAGCACAAATAAATGTGAATGCTGTGACACCTTGTATTTGAAAATGTGAACAAGCTTACATACACATATCGGAATATACTTTGGCTCCTGTTTTATGGATGGCCTACTAAACTGGCATTGAGCACACTGCAAAACCTGAAAATCAGAAATAAGCAAATGAGAAACAATCCATTAAGATCTCATAACAAGTTTGAAAGAAATTATTTAAATCTTACCCATTTATCAATATCCACCCCCATTCCAGGCCAGTAAAATCGGGCTGAAATGGCAAGTTTTGTTTTCTCCGTTCCACAGTGTGCTCCATGGGAGCTTGCATGAAAATCTTGAAAAATTTCATTTGCTTCATTTTCCCCAACAACCACTTGTTTTTTTAACTACACGCCATTTTTTTTTGAAAGGTGGTAAAGTTTTCCATCTATTCAAACAGCATTATTGTTATTTAATTCTTTTATGAATAAATATTTTAAAATCTTAACTCAAAAGTACTTTGCTTACCATCAATTTGGAAGTTGGAAGAACGCCTGCGTATAATATATTTTTGCTCCTTCTTTATACCAACAGGGTATGTGCCTTGCTGTTTATAGTTCATAATTTGTTCATACATTTTTGGATCCATTATTGTTGTTTGAGTCAGAGAGTAACCACAAGCAATACAAATTGGTGTGACTATCAAGTGACAATGTGGTATGGCCATGTTCCCAATTTATAGCTCCACTGATAATTAATTAATTGAATAATTAATTGTAAACAATTATTATATATATATATATATATATATATATATGTATGTATGTACGCACGCGCACACAAACACTGGGGCACATACTGGGACACATGTGTCTAGAGGACTAACATAACTGTAGGCCTACATGCAATATTAAATTAGGGTGCATAAACTAAGACATTAAAAAAAAGCTAAAAATGCAAACAAGAACCACAGGTAATATGTAATGGAAGTGTAAGATTGATTTTATTGCGCTACTTTGACATTGCAAGACATACAAAGCATTGCCAACACTTTTGTCCCTTTTCGCTTTCCGTACATCCAGTTGTGTTTGGGTGTGTCCGCATACGCTGTTAGCGGATACGCTTCGTAGAGAGGGAACTGGAATTCCAGAAGGGAACAGAATCGACTGCTACACCGGCCCTCAACACTCTCTCGTCGGCTTCCAAGCCTCAGTCTTCCTCGTGGCCATTCTGTCCCAGTCAGCGGCGGCCGGATTCATCGCCCCCTGTCGGGTATCAGGGTATTGCACCCTCTTGAAGACTGTTCTTCTAACCTCTCCGGAGTAGTTTTATTTAATCGTTTTTGGAGACTTTATTTCTTAGTTTTGAGTCTTTTGTGAACTTTGGGCTTTTTTGCCACTCCATTACGGAGGAATTTTTAGTTTTCTTTTTGAAGATTGTTTTGTTGGCTAGTTTTTTGCCCCTTGAGTGTGTGGGCTTCAATAAACTTTGCTGAGACCTGCATCTGTGTCTGAACCATCTTCTCTCTCACTCAGACTCCTGACACCTTGAGCCTCCTATCTCCTCTCCTGATTTGTTGTTTCTGTTTGTTTTTTGAAAATAAACATTTCTGCATGTCTTCAAATCTGAAAATATGATTTATTTTATAGACCAAGTTGTTATCCAATGTGATACAAAGCTACACACATGTTTATTTGGACAGAGTGATTAACTGAGGTGTAGTGTTGTCAAGATACTGGAATTTCTAAATTCAATACCTCGCAAAATATTGACATTCAATGGGCTTTTTTTTTAAAAACAATTGTATCAAAAATAGAACAAAAAAATAAAGATTTAAATGCTAGAAATGTGTTTACTTCAAATTTCTTTAGAGGGAGATTTTTAGTTTTCCTCAAAATAGGTTGATGTGGGCATTGTAGCACTTTGAATGCATGTAATGCCTGTTTCATTCACACTTGAGCAGAAATTCCATATATGCCTCACAAAAGTTGTAGAATATTCCAGGAAAACCCTAATATTATGGATGAAGGAATCCAGCTATTGCAGGAGTTGAATGAAAATAAGATCTGAATAAACATAAAAAAAAGGCTTAAACTGATCACTGTCCACTTATGAAACGACTAATGCCTAGTTCACACTAGAGGATTTTAAGCCTGATTTGAGCCCGATTTGGAAGTTAGCGAGCTCGCCGACAGATCGGGCTGTGATCGGGAAGAAATCTGCGGGTGCTCGGCGCTCGCCGCTCTTTATGTGTGAACTACTGAGCAACACATCAACGAGGCTCGCTGACGCGTCGCCGACACCTCGCAGACGGAAATCCAGCATTCAGCATGCTAAATATTCCAGAGCAGTCGGCCGACTCAACCCCACGTGTGGTCAGATGTAGTGACGAGCTGCAGCCAATGAGAGAGCATATCAGCATGAGCCGCGTGCCTGTGTGTTTAGGAGCTCAGCAGAAACATCTGTGATTGGTCAGAATGGGCATCAGTGCACTCGCTTCATTCTGCGTTAGCACAGACATGAGATTAGGCTATATTAACAGTGGAGCTAGAATTCTGTAACTATTAGAATTACCATACTGCTCATTCTGATCGTTCTCATATAAAACGCCATATTGTCACAACATATTTACATTCAAAGCTATTATTGAGATATTAAAATTAAGCTTTGAATGTCTGGCATCATATTTAATCACACCATTACCCTAAAAATATAATATTTTTTTGGTAATACAGCCTATAAATATGTAGTTAAGATACTAAAACACTTAAAGGCTTGGCTTTCATTTTCACTTTCAAACAGGAGCTATTTAACAGCACAGAATATGCTGTTTTGAAAGATATCTGCAGTAAATTGATGTTTTTGCCATCAGAAAGTTTTGTTTATGTTAGCAGGAAGTTGCCAGGCAAGAAAATGCACACATATTTAAAGTCACAGTGAAAAGTATCAGACATGCATGCAGTCATTTTGACCAATATGGTAATTTAAGGCAGAAATGCTCAGTTTTTTACTGTTTTGTAATAAAAAAAAATAACAATGTCAGAAAGAAATACACTGATAGTTAGAAAACGGCAGGGTGTTATAAATATGTTAGTTTTATTTCAAAGAGTTATAAAATTACAAAAATTAAAAACTCTCTGTGTATCTATCCACTCA